AGGTATTGGCACGTTAAATTTAATAATAAATTTATGAAGATAACACGTAATCGAACATTATTATCGATTATTACTCTGTGAATCTAACGAGTATATTTTATATTATACATATAAACGATTGGTATTTTGAAGTATTAAATATTTTTAGAAAATATGTTAATGATTTTATTTTAATGTTGTATCTTTATATGTTTGTACAATAATGTATAACGATCAATAACGACCATTTAAAATTTAAAAAAAATAAAAAAAAATAAAAATATAACCCAGATTTTAATTAAGTATAAAAAAATGACCGTAAAATTGAAAAAATGACCCTAAATTAAAAATAGTACAAAAAATGCAAAAATATGCAAAATAAAAACTATATATTTGAACTTGTAGATGACCAAATCACATTTTGTGCTTGAAAAGCTATATCCTGTAAATCCTAAAAAAAAAAATGCAAAATCCTATACTATCCTAGCCCTGATTATTACTAAATTATTTTATTAGACTGCTATTATTTTTTAAATTTAACCTTGTATGGTTAAACACATTGATCATTTGTAATTTTCATCGAGTATAGGTTTTTATTTGCGTAACTGAATGACGTTAATCACATGTTTTTTGTTTTTTATAGCGTCGTTCAAAACATTTGTTTGTATGGTATGGAATTATATATTATACATAAATAAAAAAAAATTTTAAAATGTCAGTTTAACGTATCTGTAATTTATCGTTTGTTTACAACATTTTTATCGAGGTTGATGTCTGTAATTGTTTGTTAATATATTACTCACAGATGATAGTTATATCAAGTGTTTTTGAATATTTCATAATTATAAAAATCATAGTATTATAATTAAAGTGAACTATTTTGTTAAATCGTTATTTTTTTATTATTTTAAGTTATTATCATGAAAAGATTATTTATTATATTTGTTTTAATTTATCTTAACGTAAGTATATTTTAATATTTTAATTGCTTATTAAATTAAGAAATTATACATATATTATTATAAATACATAGTTTTAATTAATGTTTTTTTAAATTAGATTCCTGACCAATATTGTATGCTACCAAATAATATTCCTGAAGTCGATACTTTCAGTGTACCGTCACCTTACGAGTTTTTATGGATAACAACTATGTCATATTGTAATGTACATTATTTGACGTATAATATGTTTATTCGAGTTGGAGTACCAATACAAAAACAAATATATTCTAATGACGATATAGCGGCTTTTCTTATACCTGATAATATAAATGATTGGTCAGATGAAACAGTTTTAGACTTACCATACAAATTCTTAAAATTGAGGGAAGCTTCTCAAATTATTGAAAATTTCGTTTTTGAAAATAAGGAATATCAAAATGTTATAGGAGCTGATGATAAAATCACAGGATTAAAAATATGGAAATCAGTTGAAGATAATTTGGTCAATTTCTTGAACAATGTTTATATTTTATCAAATCAAGTGAACCAAATGATATATAACTTGAATATTCAGCAAAATAACATCGACTCGTCAGTTATGATTTACTTATATTCAAGTGTTTTTAATCAAATGATTGATATAATGTCAGAAAATATTGTACCATATAAAAATGCATTTAGCTTCCTTGAAAAATATGATTTAAAAAATAATAAAGAAGTAAGTATATATATACATATTACATACATAGATATATATTATAATATATTGCCTATTGATAAGTTTATGATACATTTTAATTTATAAAGAATTTGTTGTATAACATTTATTAAACAATTTATCAAACATTATTAATATCAAACCTAACTTATTCCAATATGTCAGAAAAAAAAAAATTAAAATACACCATAATATAATAATCAACAAGTAGTTAATCAACAATTAACTAAAACAATTCTAAAAATTAAATTAAACAATAAATAAATACATTTTTGCTTGAACTTTTATATTTTTATTTATAAAGAAATATAGTTATCTAAATGTAAAATTGTAGTTAATTCTAATTATAGACTTACTTGGAGTATTGGGGTCCAGGGGTTAATTTTTTCATAGTGTTAATATCTTAAATTATAAAATCAATTTTTTTACTTTGTCTCTTTTTTATATTCAATTTATTAGTTAATATTATAAATAAATTATATCATACATTTGTAAGTAATTATTTATTGCTGAATACAATTCCTAATGATAAAAATTAAAAATCTAAATTTAAATAAATAAATGTATAGACTACAGGTTTTTATTTCAACGAGCATTTTTTTTTTTTTGAGACTATAGTTCAATAAACTTTCCAACATTTAGATATGTAAATTCCAGGCATATGATCGATCCTGGCAATAAAGTAAATTAATATTATTATGTTCAAGAAAATTAATTACTTCTTCAGTCATTGATATGTTAGTATGACTTGATAGATAACATGTCTGATATAAATCGTTCAACAACTAATCCTTCAAATTAATATCTAACCACTATAGAAAATTGATTTTTATAAGCTTTTTTTTGGGTTATATCTAAAATAAACCCGTAAACTTAATTTTTTTCATTGGAACTTAATTTCTCATTAGGTATTTGCAAAAAATATAAGAAGATACATTACCAGGTTCACTATTGACATGTTCATTTACATCTAGTTCTAAGAAGGGATACAATTTAGAAATTAGTTTAAGTAATCTATAATGGTTGATTATTAGTAATCGTAAAATTCAAAAACAGATGTTAGCTAAACATTTAAAATTCTGTTAAAAGTGGTAAAAATATTTTGTACTTTAACACATTTAAACAAAAATAATTAATCAAAGAAAAATTAATATATGGTGGCCCTTAATTATGCCGAAGCACGCGGCTGATGCCCCATAGCCTCTATCCATAAGTTGAGCTCTGGTATTAAAAATTGAAAAGAATAAAAATAAAGAAAAATTGTTTGGAAAAATAAACACTCATTAACAAACTTTTTTATATATACAGATAAATATCAAACAAGAATTGATAAACGAAAATAATCATAATTTACATGAATATACTCGATTGAAGTTGGTTAAAGTATACGATTTGTATATAAAAGCATTAAGAATATTTTACAACTCTAAATCGATTGATATACAATATTCTAGATCACATTTTATAACTTGGCTTGACATAAATTCATCAAAGAGTATTTTTGATTATAAAGCGTCAAAACTTTTAGCATATATTATAAAATTAAGAGAGTATGTTCAAGAAGCGTATAAGTACAATCAGAAAAATATATCAAAATTAACTTCGAAAATCAAAGAGTATGTAATTACAAATTTGTATAATGCTGTTGGATTATTAAAATATCCTCTAAAAAAAAATTCTAAAAGATGAAGATTTAATAAAAAATGATGTATTATTAAATCCTAAAAATAATGATACAATATTGATAAATGGAATATTAAATTCTAAAAACAAATTTTTGCTTATGCAAAGAATTAAAAATATTCAATTAAATTGGAATGATAGCAGTATACAAAATATTGCTAGAGATATAATAAATAAATATAATACGTCATTATGTGATACTGATGTAAACCATAACACAAAATTGATGTATTGGGTAGAACAAATCACAATTGATGAACAAAAAAGTAACGTGCTCGAATCATCAATTTATGCAATGATAGTTACAAAAAATTTTGAAAATGTTGTTCTATGCTCGAACATAGAAAATAATTCTAAAATAAACAAAGAAGAATTTATTAAAAATCTTATAAAAGAAGTGGATCAAAAATTAAATGAAATTTATAAAAACACTATTTATTCATTTACAGACAATAGTGAAAATATTATACCAGACTTATGGATCTATATAAAAAAAGAAAACAATAATATTTTTAATATTTTAGATTGGCTAAATAAAAATAATTCTAAGCTAAACATTCCTTACTGGCCTGATTACGAGCCATGTAATGAAATTTATGTAAAAAATATATTACAACTGGCATCTGTATCTTCATATATGTTATATGATGTAACACTAACGAGTATGCATCAGGCATTGGAAAATAATAAAATTGATGATGAAAAAGAAGAGTCAAATGCTCTATTTATATTAGAAGATCTTGAACGTACTAAACAAATGTATAACAATGTAATATATAACATACAAAATCTTGTAAAAATCAATATGTTGTACATAAAATCAAACAAGCTTTTAGATCAAAACTTAAAACAAACGGCCATACAAGAACTAGCGAAATCTATCAAGTATAAAATATTTGTAGTAACTGAATTATTAAAGCCAGCTTTTAGAAAAACTGCATACTATAACTTAGTAGAACCAGAAGATAAACAAATATATTTAGAACATTTCAACAAAATGTACCAAACATTCAATAATTATTTTGGAAAAAAAACCGATTTAAGCGAGAAAAATAAAAATGCAATAGAGCTAATAAGAATTAATGAAAATAAAATAATATCTATCTATAACAAACTACGGAATAAAAACAAAAAAATAAAAACAAAAGAAAATTATATTAGAGTATTAAAATATAATATGATAAGTGTAAAACGAATGTACCGTAACATAATGAACAAATTAAAAAAAATTACAGAAGTCAATAATAACCTAAACTTAAAAAATAATCAACCAGAAATAAAAAAAAGACTTATAATATCGAATGTCCTAATTATGGAAGATTTCATAAGATTTGATCAGTATATTGAAATGCAAAATAAGAAAACTACATTATATGACGGACAAAATAAATACACAATATCAGGAATAGATTTAACGAAAATAAATGAAATCATTGATTATAAAAATATATACAAGAAACAACTGCCAAATCTCAAAAATGAAAATACATATAATGAGATCGCATTAAAAAATGAGCAAAATGGAAAAGATAAAAAATCAGTAACAAAAAATAGAGATGAAATCACACCAAAATCACCTGGCTCTATTGAAATAGATTCCTCAGACGAAAAAACTTATCAAAGCACAGTAGAATCTAAATCATATAAGTCAACGATAATTAAAACCGATCAAGGATCAGATGAAAATGATAATACTGAAATAATGTCAAACACAAAAGGCGATGAAAAATTAGTTAAGATGAATGGAGATGAAATCACACCAAAATCACCTGGTTCTCCTGAAATAGATTCAACAGACGAGAAAACTTATCAAAGTACAGTAGAATCTAATTCATATAAGGCAACGATAATTAAAACAGATCTAGGATCGGATGAAAATGATAATACTGATATAAAGTCAAAAACAAAGGTTGATGAAAAATACGGTGTACTTCGTTCGGTGCGGCGTATTGCTCTTAGGCGAATTTCATCCATTCATCATAACTAA